GTGGGCGGGCGATTCGTACGTTCTCGCAGGAGGGTGGGAATTCAATTGAATGAGCGAGAATCGGCCCGAGTCAAGTGCAAGTGTGTATTATACATACACGTCAGAGTCTCGGCCCACCCGCCGTAGGTGATGTATATATATATGGGGGGGTCGTAGGTACATTACGATGAGCATCAGCTCTCGAAATGAGCGAAATGGATGGAGAGAGAGAGAGAGAGAGAGAGAGAGAAAAAGACGCACACGTACATACACCCACGACGCGCACAAACAGACAGGCACACGGACGTTTGTACTGCAGGCAGAAGAAGAAAAGTTACATCAGCGATGGCAAGCTTACCGTTACAATAGCTCCATGTGTATATATGTGTACGTGTAGATGAGGGAGGGTCGCGTCGGCGCGTATCCACCATACACATATACACACATAGGCATCATAGTGAGAGGAGAGAGAGAGAGAAAATCCTACAGATACCGAGAGAGAAACGAAGGAGGAGGAGGGAGGGAGGGAGGGGATGGGGTGGTGGAGGGTGCAACGTGAAAGGAGGAGGAGGAGGAGGGTGGACGACGGGGATCAATAAGCGGTACCGCTACTCGCTGATGTAGCCGGAAAGCTTTTTGCGGGTGTGCGAGCTAGTGCGTGTTACCTCACACACGGTATATAGCCCAGAGGGATGACTACATATACCTGCGTGGCCCAACGCACAGCGTATGCTAAGGGAGCCAGACGACGTTGGCGATTGTGTTGGACCTTTTTATACATATATATATATATATACCTACACGTATACGCGTGGCCCACGAAACGGCTACACTATACCTATACACATGGAGTATTAGTCGCCACTGTTGGGCGCTGGCATTCTTTTTTTTTTTTTTTTTTTTTTTACTCCCTCCCTGTGGGGGTGGCTTTTTAGCTTTCGGCCATGACGCCCCGGCGGCGTCGGCGCTCTCGAGGGTCCGTTGTTGAAAAAAACAAACAAAACAAAAAATTTAACGAGGCTTTTCACGCGTAATGCGCGCGATTACGCACTACATCGTGTACATAAGCCGCTGTTGCTTCGTTTGTCGGGACGGACGGACGACTTGACGGTAGGGTAGGTATAAGGTACCGGGATTCGGGTTGTTAGGACTAATAGCTGATGGGCACTACGTTATAAATCCTGGATAAATATTCGGACGAGGGCTAGGGTCGAAAGATGTGCTTTATATATGGAAAGTGATGTGCGCGCGCCACTCCGATCGTCTCTTCTTTACAGTATGCAGGAGAGCGCGGGGAGGAGATTTATAGGTTTGAGGGGTAACCAGCGCGTGCACGGCTCTTGATTTCAAAGACCGATCCCCCCCCCAATGGACGGAATGTTGTCTCTAATTGCCGTAGTCCTTTGCGCATCGAGTCAGGTACACTATATTATAGATATATANGTATTTATACACAATCCACCCTCGGAGAATATAATCTGGCGAGGGTTGTTGTTCGCGCCTGAACTCGATCGGATATATATGTGCTGCCCATTTCGAATTTCAATTGGGATTTTAATCGGTGTATGGATGATAATCCCATCACGCCGAAACAATCGAGGAGTACGAACGGAGTCTTTGCCGTTGTCTGGAATCAAATTGTCAAAACAACACCTATGGAGCATCGTCGCCGACCAAGACCTGATAGCAACCAACATGCAAATAATATTCATGACATTTGCTCGCTTTTGGCGAATAATTCATTTGATTTGCACGCTTACGAGCTGAAACAACTCATTGTCTTAATTTACAGTCTCTACTGAAAAATAACACGCATGGAAACGTGTATGACTAGGATTTGCAAATTGGTTAAAAAAATAGAGAGAGAGAGAGAGAGGGAAAAAAGGAGGAAACTGTTTAAAACTGTCGAGTATACATACAGCAGGGCAAAAAGTAATAAAGTTTCAAATGAAGAGTCGAGCCACCGGAGCGAAATCAAAGGTATTCGTAACATCTCAATGACGCAGACTTTGGGTACACAAAGGGAAGCTCCCATCCGTCTCTTCTTCTCCACCCACTACTTTTTTTTTTTTCCTTTTTTTTTTTTTTATCCACGAGCTCGACAAATACGCCATTTACATAAAATCGACTTGAACAACCAACGCACGCGCTCACGTGTATACTCAACCACCTCCTTCCTCTCCCTCCACCTCGACGGCTCTCTTTCCACAAGGCGTCCTTCGCTAATCAGACTTTCCCGATCCCTTCGTGTCCCGTGCCTACTCACCCTCCACACACGCGTGTGTATATACTCCCAGAGTCAGACACTCCGAGACAGCTGCACCGTCCCCTCTTTGTTTCCTGCACTATTGTTATAATATACCCACACTTGTGTACATTTATATAAAAGCCTCAGGTAAGTGTATATATATATATATAAAATATATATAATAAGCGCTGTGGTAGGTAGGTAGGCCCGTTGTGCGCAAGAAAACAGTATCCCCGTCTGTCGAGCCGATTTTCCCTTCGCTTGCGCTTTATTAAGCCTAAGTGGGAAAGAAGAGGAGCATCAGCAGCAGGAAGGGTGGGTAATATACACGCGAGGACAGACGTATTTATTGCAACAGTAGGCATCACGGTACCTATACATATGTACATCGTGCATCGGCAGGAAGAGGCAAAGAAGACGCAAGGATGAGGGGGTGGTGGTATACGGCTGTATACACGTATACACCATACGATCAAGGCATGGCTTTTCAAGACGGCACATGTATATATTATATACATATAACAGTGGCGGTGACGACGTCGCTTGATCGATGACTCCATCCCGCGTCCAAGCCATTTTCTCTCCGGGGGCTGCAGAGCTGGCTTTTCGGTCATTTCACCGTGTACCAGTCGCCGAGGCGCGCGTAATCGAAGTGGAATGCCTTTTGCGCACAGTAGAGGGAAAACGGTTTTGTAATTTAATGGACTCTCCTATATATACATATATATACAGGTCCGTCCTTGTCTACACGCGTGCATATATATGCATGCCACGTACACACTCGGGGTAAAATCAAAACGTTTCGGATGGACATTAATCCCCCCGGTAATTCTTCTCTGCGGGCACGCATTCTTTTTTTTTTTTTTTTTTTTTTTATCCAGCTAGATCTGCGCGTTTCCAGGGTTTTGGGTGAATTAAATGGACACATACCTACACAGGGTGGATTTGCAGAAACGACGATTCGCATCAGTTGTATGTACGAAACAGGGGGGGGGGGTGGCAGAGGTCGTTTGGAGGAATAGTTGTGTATTTTTCTTATTCTTCGTTTCATGCGAGCTAACGTGCATTTTATTATTTATACACGCTCGAGGAGGAGACAAGCCGTTATCAATCATCTCAGCTGTGTACATATATGTATGATATATTGTAAATTTCACTAAAGCGTAGGTGTGTAGGTATACACGGTGAAATAACCCGTGAGAGAGAGGAGGGAAACGTCCGGCGGCTCGTTAAAAGAAAAGAAGCTCGGGCCAAGGTTGCGGGAGTCGCTCTCCCAGAACGCGGGGTTTTGTACGATTTAACTGGGTGCAGTGTGGTTGCCGCGTTGTTTTGCCCTCGCGACCGGCAGATTTTAAAGGGGAAACTTTTAAAAAACGCTTTATACAAAAAAGTCACCTAAAATATTATTATTGTTTGTTGTTGTTTCGTTTTGTTTCTAAATCAACGTGCATTCTTGAATCGCATGCAAGGATTGTCGCGTCGAGCCACAGAAAAAGTAAAAAAAAAAAATTGTGTCACTCCCTGAGAGAGTCTCTATGCTATTTTCCAAACGAAAAGTGGCAGAAAAACCCATCTCCAGAGCGTGGAGAAATGTGTAGAAAATTAAACTATGTAATTTAAATCATCGCTTTTGAGCAAACACGTCTAATCATCAGCTCACATGAAAACCAAACGCTCATCGCACGCGTGCACATTTACGTGCATGTGTATTTGAAGCGTTGCATAAATATTTGTTCCGTTTCGTTCGCATTTGTAGTATGTAAACGCGCACGCAAAGCGCTATTAATAGGTTTCGTTTTGTAAATCGTTGTAAGTATATGCAGGGACAAAATAAAATACGAAATCGAAACCACGACGTTTATTAATAGAGTGGAATATAAATAAAGAAAGTAATGGACGCAAGTGAGTAAATGATGCATTGAATAATATACACAAATAACAAGTTTGCGCGTGTAACTACATAAGTATGGCATATTGTGTGCGCTTTCACGAAGCGACGGTGAACGAAACGCGCGCGCCGCCAGCGGTGCTATATATAAACTACTCGTGCGCGGAAAAGGGGTTAAGGCCGTTGGGAGAGAAAAAGAGAGCGTCTGAAAAAAGTAAAATGAGACAAAAAGAGAAAAAAAAAAAAAAGAGTGGGAGGAGGAGGGACAAGGCTCCGTAGGAAGGTATATATGGTTCCTTTGGCGAAATTTGTTTCGCATGTTGGCGCTGCTTTTCTTCCTCCGGGCTTGATTGGGGAGCGATAAAAACGAAGAGTTTCGTGGTACACATAGATGATCGATGAGAGATAGAAAAAAAAAAAGTCCCACTCTCGGTTGCTGTGAAATTAATGGGGGGATTACCCGAGGCAATTGACCCGAGCACCCTCTCGAGTATACACACACGCGAGGGCGCCTCTCAAGAAAAGAGCGAGATGCCCCGTATCCTAAACCCATGTTTTGCTTTTTTTCTCGCTTTTTTTTGGGTGGTTGTTAAGAGCCAGCACAGTGCACACACATGTTCGTGCGCTCAGCTGCACGCGGCCTTGCGGGAATCGTCGCGCTCTCGAGTTCAAGGCCGCTTTTCGAATTGGGTCGCTGTGTAAGAGCTTGTATACAGATTGTTTATCCATGATTGGGGACAACAATGACTCGGCTACGCTATTAATTTTTTACAAATTGTACCTCCGAGTTCTCTGTTTGGTTTTAAAAAGACAAATACATGAAAAAAGTTTGAAGAATCAAGTTCAGATAAGGACAGGGGGAGGAGGAGGGGCAACCGTACTAACCTTGGACGAGAGGTTGTCATGCACGTTGTCGGTGTTGAACTTCTTGGCGAGGTGTATCGGCCGGTCGGGCTGCCTGAAGAGTCGACCTTCCTGCAGTACGTGGCCCCGATCGACTGCCCTCTTGGACGACAACCTGAGGGACAACTTGAGATCGCCATCCTGCTCCTCCTCGACAGTGTGGCTCTGGCGCACGTATCTCTCGATGCTCTTGAGATTCGAGCCGTCGCGCTCGCCGAGCTCGCGCACCGCCTTGATTATCACCTTGGTCAGGTCACTGTTGCGGCCCACTTTAAGCGGCTTCGACTGCAGACCACCTGGGTCCTATCCACGGAACAACAACGAATCAATACCTTTTTGTTTTGAAAGACTATAAACAAAGAAGAAAAAAATCCCGATGATGATAACCGACCTTGTAGGACGATTGGCCCTTGTTGAAGAGTTTGAGCACGTCCCCGCGCTTGACGGCCAGCTGTAGATTCTCGGCAATGACCTCTTCGTGAAAGTCATGCTGCAGCCGGATAGCGTGGGCGATGCGCTCGACGCTCGGCCGTTGCTTCTGACTGCGGATCTTGCGTATGGCGTCCAAGAACCAGGCGGTCCACGTTTCTGGGTCCGGCTCCTCCATATTGTTGGTGGTGTCGTTTGCGGCGCTGTTGTGCTCCTTTTAGGTACGTCTACTTTAAACTTTGATCACGGCGTATGGGATTCGCTGTTTCGGGCCCAGAGAGGAGCTGCACCACCAAATCCAAGGCGGAGGCCCCCGCTAGACCGGGGGCCCGCATTCACATCGCTGTCGGGTTATGGCAGGGTCCCGCCTAGCCTTCCACGGCGCGCACGAGTTTATGCGACGCGGGCACGCGTCAGCCAGCTTGTGCTGTGATAATGGTACTTTGCTTTCTCCCCCTTTTTTTTTCTGTGCGCGTACCAAGTACGATGAGGTTCGATGGCCTTCAGGACAGATGCTCGCTTTCTTTGTCTATCTCAATTGTACGCCTGCTGTAAACAAAAATAAACGTTGTGCGAATTAGCCAATTGGAAGTGCCATTTTTTGGTTAAAGTAAAAAATACTAGACTACGGTATAATTTATCCTAGATTAATCACCAAGTGTATATATGTATATATTATATACGCACACTTGAACGATCGGTTTTTATTCTGCAACAATTAATAACCAAGACGGATTCGCCGAGAGAATTTTCACGCGCTTGTGCACGTACGATTTCTCCTCTTTTGCGTGAATCAGACCTGTTACGCAATAGATCATAGCAATATCTATCTCTTTCTCGCCCTAGAAATAATATAATATGATACCGATCTCTCTGGAAGATCGGCACAGTAGCGGGCGCTTAAAAATCATTTCAAAACCACGAGGATCCATGAGAAATCGTGCTACTCGTTTACAGTAAAAATTTCAACCACGTACGCACAAATGATTGTCGATGCCAAGGATGACTCATCGAGATTCCCACCGCACGCGGATGATACATATTAAAACACACATCATCGTATAGCTCGCTCGAGTTCCCCGCGTTGAAAGCTATCAATGGTTTTCTTTTTTGCTCGCAGTGGTTGTATCGAGAGCGTGTTACAACCTCGTTAAATCTATATGTAAAAGACAAGGGCCGAGTTATCCCTCTTAACCCCATATTTTTTTATACGTGTAATAGGTATACAGCACGGAGAACGTATAAATTACACAGAGGCATGACTTATCGCAATCTGCTTCCATCTCTTGGGCATAATCGCGACCGCGTGTGGAGAAAAAAAAAAAAAAAAAGGGGAAGTGGGTGCGTTAAAACCACTATACACATATCGTGCGATGACGAGTCAATGCGATGCATTGAACCCATTGTGCAACCCTTTAGAGATTCAATTAGTTGTATATATCTCGTATCACAGCAGCCAGCAGCGATCGTTCAAAATCAGTGTTCCCCTCGACCCGACCCGAAAGAAAAAAGCCTTTGTTATGTGTAGGTGTAGGTATATGTAACAATCCTCGAGTGAAGCGACGATCCGTCACGCGGCATTTTCCTCCCGACAGCTCGGACGGATTAAGCTGAATCTCTCTCCCTCCGCCGCGCGTATAAACGCCCGCACTAATCATCATCCCCGCGATCGAAACCCTCTTCCGAGTGTCACTCCCTTTTCCCCTCTTTCTTTTTTTTTTTTTTGCGCGGCAGCATCGCATTAGCCAACACACAATCCCTCCTCGGCCTCTCTCTGGCGTTTGCAGAAAAGAGAAATGAGTGAAACACCTACGCACACGCCCCTTTCGAGCGCAAGTACATCTCTTCCTCTCTCTCTCTCTCTAATCTTTTCGCCAACTGTAATAATAGCAGGTGGTCCCTTTTGCCGCCCTTCCAGACCTCCCCCTGTCTGTGTCTCTGCCGTATAGCACTGCTTTTTGCGTTGGGTATGAGTAGGTATACCCACACCCACACGTGGTTGACAGCGTAGCGCTGATAAATTAGCTGTCGCGCTCAGGAGACGCTCGACCATGTACAGAAGACAACAACGGAAAGCGTATATATATATAGACGTGCCGAAACTCTTCGGTTGACTGTAGGTGTAGGTATATGTATACGTATATAGGTATGTACGCAATTAGAGGCTTCGTTATTTGCTAAACGCATCGATGAAGCTTTCGCGCCACTGTTGCTTTTGATTATTTCATCTACAATTCAAATGCGTGTATACATATATACATATGGCCGCGAGGAGGGGTCTAATCTCTCCTTCCACCATATCCCACTTCTTCCGTCTTGTCATCCTCTGCTGACTTCTTGAGGCTGCATATCTTATACATACATGCGGTGGATGGTATTATGTTATAAAAGTATAACATTTGGGGTGATTTGCGACGCCGAATCAAGACTGCAGTCTATATTAAGGGACAATTCGAGGTTATTGAAAAGAGTACATCGAAACGCTGACATGCTGTTCATCTTTTAATCTAACTACTATTTTTCTTCTCCTCCTCGAGTATACCCTCTTTTTTCTTGTTATGTAACTATACTTGTATGATCTTTATGAATGTTGTTATATATATATACTTGTGTGCACGCGAGCGACGACGATTCGCCCCCGCCCTTTCATTTTCTGTCGGTGTTTTTGCTACTGTTGTATATTTATTGTGGCCCAGCAAGGAGAAAGGGCCTCGAGTCGTCAAGATAGAGAGAGTCTTAGATTATTCGGGCTGCGCGTGAATTCCAGGGGCGAGGGGGGGGGGCAAAGGTCAAATACGGCGACGTTAACGCGCGCCGCGGCATTTGCATGTGGGCCCTATCGAGATCGTGCTGAATTAGCACGGCGAGGGTAAATTTATGAAAGGGGTAGTGCACGGCAATCGTGCAGTATATAGCACGAGGTGGTATGGGAGAGTTCAAACGGGGGAGAGGGGACACTTTCGGGCTGATTTATGCCGGCCATGCGTCTCTGGTTTTTGCACCTCCGCTATATATTTTGCACGATATATACGTATATACATGCCCCCCCCTCCCCCTATGTCTACATATCCTCCTCGTCTAACCCCTCAGACCACCATAACCGCAGGCATATCGCGACACTTTGCCAGCGTAAGCTACACTTGTACGGATACATTCGTCGCAATTAAAAGTTCCATCTCTGCTGCTGCTGCTGCTTCGTTTGTTTTACCACGTTAGTTTCTGCGACTATTAAAATTATGACAGTCGCCGGCGCGATTGATGATTTGTTTGGCCGCCCCTCCGCCATAAGTCTTCCTTTTCCTCTTCTTCGTCGAGGAGTTATTATTTTCATTTGTTACTTCGAATGGAGCACGTTTAGTTCAACTCGGTTGGTATCTGCTGCGTGGGTAATTAATTCATGCACGTGCTGACTCTGACTTGCTAACGATTCCTTTTCCCAACGATTTTCCATACATACAATGGTATAAATATATAATATGCTGATCGTTTACGTCCACAATACCATTATAACGCGCACGTGTGTTTAGTCATCATCATTGGTACACATAATTCTAGTTTTTCTCTTCTTTGTTTTTTTACGTTTTTCTACTATTTTTATGTATATTTTACGTAACTTTATGTACCTTTTATATATAATCGTTCAATTTACATACCAGCGAATTTTAATGTTAAATTCCAAAGGAAGCGGAGCAAGTATTACTAAATTGATCAATTTTTTTTTTTTTTTTTTTTTTTTTTTTTTTTTTTTTTTTCGGAAGAAGAGGAAGGGGGGGGGGGTAAGTGTAAACGTGCCGAGAAAGTCTTTGCACCGCGCGATTCGCTAAAAAAACGCTCGTCTCCCCCGACGACGACATATTGTCAATAAGAGCGCGCGGCGCGTATACAAAACCACATTTTCCCTTTTTCCAAAGCGTCGTGCGACCAACAACGCGCACACATACATACACACACGTATGTTACATGTAACTATATTATTATCCTGCAGCCGAGCACGCGTTCGAGCAAACGCAAACGTAATCATTGAAACTTCCGCGCAGCCTGTATATAAATATATCTTATACATATGGACGCAAAAAAGGCCCCAGGGCGTGTTCGCGTATACGTACCGATCGATACTGCAAAAGAAAAAAAAAAGAAGAGAGCCAGCGCCCTCCTGGACAATTGAACTTTACGAGTCGATGTGCGCAACGTACTCCAACACTTGTGGGCATACGGTGGAAAACGAATTCAATGATGTATGTTATACACCACAATAATATATAGTATAGCGTGCACAAATCGTGCAGTGTTTAAGTGTGATGTGTATACGTATAGCAGATATACCTGCAGCGGTGAAAGCTCGGATAAAAACACGTCATCGACCCGATCTCCCTCGCTCTCTCCCGTTGCTCGCTGTCTCTTCCTCACACCTGATAATACAACGTATAACCCAAGTGCAAACTCTAGTCGTACACCGCACAGGAGCACCGGCGGCAGTACTATACATGTGTACCTGTATTTTTGTTGTTATACGCGCGACTTGAAAATCGGCTTTCGTGTCGATCTTTTCTCTTTGCTCTCTCCTCTCTCGTTTTATATACATATATTATACGCTGTTCGTTTTTCTGTGCGAGCGACGTGTCGTCGACGATCTATAACACGTTACACATGGGGCTGTCGCCAATTAGCGCTCCGATTTCCGTTCGAGATCGATTAGTCCATGCATGTATAGGGTATTCTTTCTCTTACAGCTTACACCGGATGGTTTTTAGGTGAGAGCCTTTTTTGCCGTCTTTTTTTGTATCCGTTGTTGCACTCTTCTGCTTTGTGCTTCTGTTTTTTCTTCCTTTTAATTTTATTGAAAATTTCGCGATTGTTGTGAATTTAAAAAGCAATTTTTTCAACAGAAAAAACTGCACTTATTTATTTTAAATCGGACGTACAAGTTTATATATATAGGATTTTTTTTTTTTTTTTTTTTTTTTTTTCAATTAACACATTAAATGCAAATTATTTGTAAAATTTGTTCGAAGAGTTTTTATATTCTGTAAAATCAAGAATCAATTCATTCACATCCAATTGTTTATTATCAAGTTGAAGTGAGTATATGAAAACCCTAACATTTCGTGGATTGTTACAAACAAATTTAATCAAGTACTCCTGGCAATTATAACTAACTTTCAGAGAATAAAAAAATAACTTTTAGTGTATGTAACATGAGCAAATAAATATTTATGATTTTGCAGAACCGCAAATACATTTAATTTGACCAACCATTATCATTATTATTATTTTTTTTTTTTTCAAACGTAAAAGAGATCGTACAAAACAATACACACAAACGAAGAAACTCCGGCATCGGCACGGCTGCAGGAACAATTACGCCATTGTTTCTTCCAACTTGAAAAATTCTTCCCATATCCCGGCAACATTGCCAAACGGAGGTAGTATAAATTATCGCGCTGCAGATACACCACACACACATGTCCCGCATGCATAAATATATACATATATTAAGCGCAGCAACATACGTATACATACTTTGTACATACATAGTCCACGTCGAATTA